TCACCGAGAGACGAAACGACACATCATATGAGATTCAAATTGCCACCATTTGATGGAAAGTCCTCTTGGTCCATATACCTTAGACAATTTGAAGCTATTGCGACAGCCAATCATTGGACAGAACAAGAAAAAGCCGTTTCCTTGACTGCTGCTTTACGAGGTGATGCTGCGGATATCCTAAGATCGATTCCTAAGGGTCAAGAAAAATGTTACCAGACCTTGTTTACTCGACTAGACAAACGTTACGGAGATGCCCATCTACAACAAGTCTACAAGGCGCAACTAAGAAGTAGAACTCAGCGAGCAAGTGAGAATTTGCAAGAGTTTGAAGCAGATGTTGCTCGTATAGTGCGGTTGGCTTATCCGGAGGTACCAGACAACATTTTGGATGAAATTGCCGTAGATACCTTCGTCAATGGGTTAAAAGAAAGTGAATTACAGAAAGCTTTACGACTAGCAAGACCGAAAGTTTTAGATGAAGCGCTCGCTATTGCCTTAGAACATGAAACAGCTAGTCAAACTTCACGGAGCCATCGAGTAAGAACCATCGAAGAAGGCGACGAACTAAACGATGAACGTCTAGAAGAAATGGTAAGAAAAATAGTTCATAACACGATGCCGAAGAGACGTGAGCCCAGATGTTGGAATTGTGGTGACGTAGGTCACATTCGCCGCAATTGCAAGAAAATGATACAACAGTCGGAAAACTAGAACGGGTCGACACTAAGGGGCAACTGCCGACCTCGAGAAACACAGCCCCCATAGTAACTGTGAACATTACGTCCTCCGGTGGAATTCATAGCTTGTACATCGAGGGTCGTATTAACAATAAATGTAGATCGTTTTTAGTAGATACAGGTGCAACAAGAACTATTGCACGGCCAGAAGTAGTACGAGACCATCTTAAACTATCGCCTGCAACAGTAAAGCTTAGAACAGCAACTAATGAGAAACCGTCGAAATCTAAGTATCCAAAGGAGCTTGTAGAGACGATGATTAAAACGTGCCAAGATCTTGATGATGAACGAACTAAAAAAGTAAAGTCTATGCTGATAGAATTTCAAGATGTTTTTGCCATTGATAAGAAGGATAATGGCAAAACAAGCATAGTAAAGCATAAAATTAATACCGGAGACGCTCAGCCAATCAGACAACAACCTAGACGACTTCCATTTGCGAAAAGAGATGAAGCCGAAGACATCATCAAAGATATGAACAAACAAGGGGTAATTGAACCATCAAACAGTCCATGGACATCACCAGTAGTGCTAGTAAAGAAGAAAGATGGTTCAACACGTTTTTGTATTGACTACCGACAGCTCAATGCGGTAACTAAAAAAGATAGTTATCCTTTGCCCAGAATAGACGATACTTTGGATACACTTTCTGGTTTTCGTTGGTTCTCCACACTCGATCTGAAAAGTGGATATTGGCAAGTAGACATGGAGCCAGCTGATCGTGAGAAAACCGCATTCTCGATAGGATCAGGGCTTTGGCAGTTCACTGTTATGCCCTTTGGTTTATGTAATGCTCCGGCCACATTTGAAAGATTAATGGAGGCAGTTTTAAGAGGTCTAACATGGAAAACATGCCTGGTTTATTTGGATGATGTAATTGTAGTTGGAAGATCCTTCGACGAACATGCCAATAATCTGACCGAAGTCTTTCAACGATTGCGGGCAGCGAATTTAAAGTTGAGTCCGAAGAAATGTCACTTGTTTCGAAGCGAAGTGAAGTACTTGGGACATATTGTAGCAAGTAATGGAGTAACAGCTGATCCTGAAAAACTTGCAGCAATTAAGGATTGGCCAGTACCAAGAGATAAACACGAAATTAGAAGTTTTCTTGGCCTTTGTACATATTACCGACGTTTTGTCAAAGGATTTGCCAACATCTCCAAGCCATTAACTAAGTTGACAGAAGAAGGCAAAGAATATACATGGAGCGAAGAGTGTCAAAGAGCTTTCAAACACTTGCAAATGGCTCTGATCAGCGCACCGATTTTAAGCTACCCTAGACAGGCAGGAAAATTTGTGTTGGACACCGATGCAAGCAACAGTGCAATAGGAGCTGTTCTCTCCCAAATCCAAGATGGACAGGAGAAAGTCATCGCTTACTTTAGCAAAGTCTTGTCGAAACCAGAAAGAAACTATTGCGTTACCAGGAGAGAATTGCTAGGCGTAGTAAAGGCTTGCGAGCATTTCCAGTACTTATATGGCAGAAAGTTTCTTCTTCGCACGGATCACGCTGCTCTAAAATGGCTCCTACAATTCCGTAATCCAGAGGGTCAGATGGCAAGATGGTTAGAACGATTACAAGAATATGATTACGAGATCGAACACAGGGCTGGAAGAGTTCATTTAAATGCTGATGCGCTTTCGAGAAGGCCGTGCAGTAAACATTGTAATCACTGTCTTAAATTAGAAGAAAGACTTTGTCCTGTGAGACGAACCACCGTCATTAATGATCAATGGCAGCCACAACAGCTACAAGACGCTCAAGCAGATGATCCATGTATAAAAAGAGTATTGGATTGGGTGCGTCGAAGTGAAAGGCCTTCTTGGCAAGACATTAGTGCATGTAGTCTTGAAGTCAAGTGTTACTGGAGCCAATGGAATTGCCTAGTGCTAAAAGATGATCTTCTTTATAGAACCTTTGAGAACGATGATGGTACAGAAACTAAGCTTCAGTTGATTGTACCTAAAAGTAAAGTGTCAGAAGTATTGCGTCAGTTGCATGACGGCGCATCAGGTGGACACTTTGGTATAACGAAGACTCTGCAAAAGGTTCGAGAACGGTTCTATTGGGTGAACTGTAAAGATGATGTAAGAAGATGGTGCCGGAAATGTGAACTGTGTGCAACTAGTAATGGTCCAGTTGGTAAAAAGAGGGCACCCATGAAACAGTACAATGTTGGTAGTCCTATGGAGAGAGTAGCAATCGATATTGCAGGTCCACTTCCAGAGACAAATGATGGAAATAAATATATCCTGGTAGCCATGGATTATTTTACGAAATGGACGGAGGCCTATGCGCTACCAAATCAAGAAGCTGCTACCGTTGCAGAGGTACTGGTTAAAGAATTCTTTAGCCGATTTGGTGTTCCCTTGGAGATCCACTCCGACCAAGGGCGAAACTTCGAGTCAAACCTTTTCCAAAACGTTTGTAAATTGATTGGCGTCAATAAGACCAGAACGACACCCCTTCATCCTCAATCAGATGGAATGGTCGAGAGAATGAACCGAACGATGGGTAAACACCTGTCCAAAGTTGTATCAGAACATCAAAGAGATTGGGACCAGCACATTCATTTATTCCTAATGGCCTACCGCTCGGCCGTGAATGAAACTACGGGCCAGACTCCAACCTGCCTGATGTTAGGTCGTGAAGTTCGTTTGCCCTGCGACCTAGAGTTTGGCTGCAGACCTTCTGAAGAACATGTTGCAAGCGAAGATTATGTCGACCGCCTAAAGTTAAGAATGAACAACATTCATGAACTTGCCCGACAACACATCCAGTTAGCCAGTGACAGAATGAAAGATCAATACGATTCTCGATGCAAGAATGAAAGCTATGAAGTAGGTGATCTTGTTTGGCTTTATAATCCCCAACGTCGTCGTGGCTTGTCTCCTAAACTGCAAAGACAATGGGAGGGTCCGTATGAAATTAAAAAGAGAATAAATGACGTAATATACCGAATTAAGAAGTTGCCGAAAGGTAAACCAAAAGTAGTTCACATAAATCGTCTTGCACCTTATGCTGGCTCAAATGAAACCGAAGAAGTCCGAACCCTTCAACATGAGATCAAAGATGATCGGCGACCAAGCTTTAATGAATGTATGTCAAATTACGCAGAGAGAACGAGTGCTAGATTCGGCGTGACGACAGAAGTTCAGCAGGATCTTTTTAGTGTTCCACATAACGTCTCTCTAGCCCACTGCGTTGCCCAAGATCTTGAGATGACTAAAGGAATCTCGTCCGTATTTTATAAGAAATTTGGTCGCTTGGACGAGTTAAAAAACCAGCAGCCTAAAGTTGGAAGAGTGCTGAGATTAGAAGATGGTTCTCGATCTTTGTTGTATATGGTGACCAGAAAGTCGTATACAGACAGGGCAAGCTACGAGGATATATGGCGTGCTCTAACTAATTTGAAGAAAATCGTCTGCAATTACGACATTAAGAACTTGGCTTTACCCAAGATAGGCCATGCACTAGATAATCTGGATTGGAAGATTGTCAGAAGTATGCTTGAAGTGATCTTCCGAGAAACCGGTGTAAGAATTACTGTGTGTTGCATTAATCCGAAGAGATCGTGTCCTTCAAAGACAGTAGACTGTTATTTCTTTCTGAAGGGTTCATGCAGAGCTGGAGAGTCCTGTAGATTCCGCCATCCTGGACCTATAGATAGAGTTCCTGATCGGGACGCTCAGATCTAAGAGGGGAGCAGTGGAATATTCTCGAACATAATACTTTGGTATATATATGTAACGGAATTAGGAGTTAAGTTTAGTTGATAAGAGAATACCGAACTGTAAAGTTATAAATAAATATATTTATATAAATTCGAACCGCTCGTTTTATTTAAAAACGGTACACTATATAGTTTTGTTGGTGGATGGCGAGTAGCAGAATTGATGAAGAAAACACACATTAGGTATAAAAATACTTTATTGATAGAAATATAATATACAATGAAAGTGTAGACGTTGACCTAACGCCATATATTAAAAATTAGATATATTTTAACAATTATTTTCTGAAGCATATCAAATTAATATATTTGGTACAAAATTATAGGATATTATATAATACCGCGAATAAACATGCAAAATAGATCAAATATGTTTCCCAGATAATGTAAAAAGCTTATAATTGAGAAACATATTACAGAAATCACGACAAACCGTTACATCAACGATTTCGAAAAATTTTGTATACAAAATGGTAATAATTTTTTAAAAGGTTTGAAAAGGCGAGCAAACTAAAAGAAAAACAAGAGATCATAGAGATTTTACAGATTCTGTGAGACTGGAAAGATCATCATTACTTAAATAATTTAAAATTATTCGTCGACAATCAAATACTAGGTTAGGTGCAATCATTTTCATTGCAGTATCAGCCACTTCCAGCAAATCCAATCTTCTTACACCCTCTTGTACTTTCTTCATGGCCATTGGTGCAATGCTTGAATATAACTTGTATTTGATAATATATTTATCAATATGTTTAGCTTCTTGGAGCAATTGGTGGTTGGATAAGAACGTTAATAGTTTCTTTTTATCATATAAGGCTTGCAGAAACATATACAAAGAAATTGTGGTATTTTCTAAAAAACACACTTCCATTTGTTCTATAATTTTTTCATATTTTCTTTTAAATCCATAACAGAAGTCATACGCCCAGTATTCTAGGTTTTTCATTTCTATATCTTTACTAAATAACAACATAAATTTTATTAAAAGTTCCGCATTGTGCTCAAACCATTTTGTTCTGTAGGGACAACCAAGTAAAAGTCCGGATATTCTTACATTAATAATGTCACAAACAATATCCAATGGCCTTTTGCCACTTCTGTCTCTTGCCATTGGATTAGCTCCTTCATGCAATAAAAGATCCATAACTTTACTTCCATTATTAGAGGCTAAATGTAAAGGAGTACTACCACATGAATTAATTTTAGCATCGAGGTCTAGCTCTTTTTGAAGCAAGAGTCTAACTATTTCTGTATCCCCATATCCAGAAGCTATATGCAAAACAGTACAGCCATCATCATTAGTTTTCTTCACATCAGCTCCGTATTGGATCAATAACTCGACAACTTCGTTGTTGCCACAATCCGCCGCTAATATTAGAGGTGTCGTAAAGTTGCACTGAATACCATCGTATTTCGATTCATTTTGTAGAATTTGACTGACTTCACGACGACCATAACTAGTATAACTTAGTGCTGACCTGCGGTTTGGTGGTAAACCAATTTTACATTTAGTTTCTAATGATGTACCATATTTAATCAATAATTTTACCACTTCGAGATGACCAAATATGGCTGCTAGATGTAGAGGCGTAATTAAAAACCGTGAAGTGGATGAGTTCACGTTAGCTGATCTTTGTAATAACAATTCCACTATATCTAAATAACCGCCTTTTACAGCTTCGTGCAAAGGTCTATATCCCTCGGAATCTGCACCATTCACGTCTAGACCTTTGTCTAACAAACTTGCAACTTCGGTATAGTCACCACGGCGTATTGCCAAAGTCAGTAGATCATTGTTAACATCCATTATTGGTTTTCTACCTAAAAATGTTTAGTTAAATATTAGTATACTCGTAGTATCACTCAAATGGATTGGTGGACAAAGCAATGCCAACAATAGTGCAGAATATATTGCATATATCTACATAAGTAAACTCTAGAAACTCTCACACAAGTAATGACAATATTTTTGAACCATATGTTATAATTACATCGAGTTTTCACTTTACCCAATGAAGCAGGTTTACTTTACCAATTGTGTTTGGGTTTAGACGCGATAGACTTTGAAAAAACATTTGACAAGGTGCAACATCAAAAATTATTTGAGATACTGAAGGAATCTAGTATCGATGACAAAGATTTACGTCTGATTAAAAATTTATACTTACAGCAAAGGGCAACTGCAAGTTGACAACGAAACCTCACAAGAATTTACGATAAAACGGGGAGTACGTCAGGGCTGCATTTTGTCACCGACGTTGTTCAATACTTACTCGGAAATGCTGTTCAGGGAAGCTATTGATGGTTTAAGAGAAGATACATAAACAATTTAAGATATGTCAACGATACAGTTTTGATTGCTGATAATGCGGAGGATCTTCAAATATTAATAGACCGTGTAGTGGAAGCCTGTGTCGAATATGGCATGAAATTAAACTGTAAGAAAACCAAAACTGTTGTAGTAAAAAACAAGACGTAATACAGTACCAATTCACAGCTTATAATGAACCCTTGAAAATAGTCGACATAATTACATATTTGATGCATCCTAAATAAGGAATGGGACCATTCACAGGAAATAAGATGTCGTATAGAAAAGGCGAGAGCTGTCTTCAATCGTCTCAAGAAGATTTTATGTAATATGCACTTGAACATTGATATAAGAACACGAGTTTTGGGATGCTATGTATTTTCTACCCCTTTATATGGAATCGAAGCCTGGACCTTGACGGAAGCAACATCCAAACTAGTAGAAGTCTTCGAAATGTGGTGCTACTGCTGCATGCTCAGAATTTCCTATATCCATCATGTTACAAACAACACCGTGATCCAACGAATGAAATTATGCGTATCGTGAAAATCAGAAAGATGACATACTTAGGGCATGTGATGCGTAATGAGATGTATCAATTAATTCAACTAATTTTACAAGGCAAGATAGAAGACAAAAGATCGCAAGGGCGCAGAAGGACATCGTGGTTGAAGAACATCAGACATAATGACTACCATACATATATTTAGAGCAGCTGTCAACAAAGTTATATGGACCAACGTGATTGCCAACATCCACAGAGGATAGGCATCAGAAGAAGAAGAATGAAGCACGTAAAATTTAAGTCAACTACATCTTTCTATAAGTACAAAAATCATTTTTACACCAAAATGAAGTATATATTTGCTTTGTTCGCGGAGATAATCCTTGATTGATTTCTGACTGATTCGCTTGTACAGTTGCGTTTTCAGCGTTCGCGGTGTTAAAAATCCGGGACTTTGACAGAAAGTTTGATGTTCGCGGAGTTTTTCTAACTGGTTCATGATCAGTCAGAAACCGGTCCATTAAGTTCGTGGATTACACTGCGGATTTTTAGTCAGCACAAGCGCTATACTTACAGAAGCTGTAAAAAGTTTTTTTTTGTTGTGGGTTAATCCTAACCAACTGGTTAATTTTCGAAATCACTTAGCTACTTAGTTTTATTTTTAACCTACAAATTTTGACAATTTCATTTAAAAAATACAGAATAACGTAAACTTTATGAAAATATACGTAACCAAACTTTTTCTTGTATATAATATAATAAAGAACCATAATATAATGTTAAGCCTGCCACTCACGTTCCAATGGAGCAGTAAGATTTTGTTGAATACAATTGCAGTACAATAATATTGAAAATTGGATGGGAGTACACATGTACCGGTTTTTTGCAGTACAAGTTTTATTTTCAAATCAGAAACACAAAATAAAGCAATCAGAAACATGTCAGATAACGATATACTTGGTATAACCGAAAATAAACGAAAAAATACAAGAAACGTAGGTAGTGGTGCAAAAATTTATTACTGAAAAGACATACAGATAGTCACGTACATTTATTGAAAGAATTTCGATTATATCCAAATGATTGGAGAAATTACCTTCGAATAGATGAATCTACTTACGTTGAATTGTTATTACTATGAGCGGTTTATCAGCAATAATACCTCTAATTCAGAAGCAGTATATAGTTATGCGTTTTTCAATACCACCACATGAAAGACTGTCAACAACTTTAAGGTAAGTACCAACTATATATTTAATATCGATATACAGCAAAATTCGCGAAACAGAGAGTTGTAACAGACTGGAAAGGTCAAAAGAAACAATTTTATGGAGTATTTTAATAATGAAGAAGCTGTAATCTGGCGAAATAAAGTTATATGATATATGTAATTCTTAACGAACTAAGAATAAACAACACATTTTTAACCACAAAGACCTACACAAATATACATTTAATAACACCCGTGGACAAAGATCTATGATAGATTATATTATAACCAACAATACATCCATCAAAAATAATCGACGTAAGATTAGATCAGACGTCAGATGTAGGAAGCGACCATAGCCTAGTATTATGTAAAATAAGAATAATCCTGAAATACTTCCCACCCAACAAAGCGGCGCCAACACAAACTGCCGTTAATTGCATTCGACAAAATCGTACTGCGGCGCTGGAACGTGAGTGGCGGGGTTTAAAGTTAAAAATGTTTGTGTATTGTGAGGAAAGAAACAGTAAGAAATGTACAAAAATGTTCACGGAGAATTAAAACCCGTGAACTAATAACTATAACCGCGCCACATGGAACCTCTTATACTGTGACCGCGCCAACGCACGACATTGATCCCTAATGGTATAATACGAAATTTGTCGAAAACTAGTCAGGGTCATAGAGAAATAACAATAAGTAACTTATTTGTTATTTCTCTATGGTCAGGGTCTACCTCCATGGTACAATAAATATATTTGTATTCATTGTACCATGGTCTACCTTCGCGAACAAAGCTATTATCCTGCTGTTTACCGCTGTTTACTGTATAGTTGTATACTCCTATACTGTATACAACCGAGATATTAAATAAAAATAAACCGCTTTACAAAAAATTGTTACAAAGAGATCCAACAATAAAATATCAAATTGTCTAGTGCCAAAAAATAACTCACCTTTGTCACCATAGAAACCGAAAGATGTTTATAAGGGAGCATCAACTTACAATCTAAAATCTAACTCGATGCTTGATACAAGGGAGACACACACCCCGCACCCCGCAGAGCGAAAAGCCCTCAAAGATGTTAAGCATACTTTTTAAAATTCGCCGTTGCCGGATTTCCGCTATTTCTTGTCACACCGTGACAAGGTCTTCTTAACGGTAACCATATCTAGTAGTTGCAAGAATTTATTTTAAAAACGGAATTTACTCTCCTAATCATTTATTTGAAAGATATTAAAAGTTTTTTTTAAAAGTAGAAAAACGTAGAGTTGAAAATATAGTTGAGAGCATCTATTGGGTAAACGAAATGGACTCTACAGCAGGTTTATATAATTCTGCCATGAAGAAAATATAGAAGATGATGTAGTATAATGAAAGCATTTTTTAAATCAACAGCTCCCAGGCTCCCTATATTAAAATAGCCGATACATTATGGGAAAAAAGTGTCTGAAAAATCAGATATGTCATATCAAGATCAATTATGGATCAACAAAGATAATACAATAACTAAATAAAGAGTGTAAATTACGTAGAATGTATTTCTATATCAATCATTTCACTACTTTTTGTTATAATATTATTTCCTAGACCAGAAATATTTAATTTTTGAAATCTTGTATCGTACTGTAATTTTTGGGCCAAACTTTTTGTGACAAAACTTTGCATACTGCCTGAGTCCAACAAAGCCTTAATTTTTAAAGGTTGGTTGTCTCGCGTGTAAATTTTAACTAGTGCAGTAGGCAGAAGAACATGATACATACAAAAAGTTATACATACACTTATTAGCTAACAGTGGTGTCAGATATGGATGATATGTATTTATATAATAGAGTACATTTATTAATTTAGTTTGATGTATTTCTAATGGAGAAACCCAGGACGACGCAAAATAAGAAATTTGAAAGTGTGGTTCGGTTGCAGCTCATTAGAATTATTCAGTAGCGCGGCAAATCAAATTAAAGTAGCGATGATGATTCCCAACCTCCGATAGGAGAAGGAACCTGAAAAAGAATATATCTAATGATGAACTGTTTTCTATTGTTGGTTTTTGAATTGAAGGTCCTACTCAAATAACGGATACCTTGTCAGGTAAGAGAGAGGTAGGTAGAATGAGACGGTCGGAACACTGAGACAAACTCGGTTTGTTCGATCGGTATTATCCGATCTACGATCTGTATTATCCGATAAAACTAAACGAACGTGAAGCAGCTTTTTGCTTGAATACGCTTGTACAAAACTGCATGGATCAACGAAAGGTTATAGTCATAACATTCCTCGATTATGAAAAAGCGTTTGGCACCATAAAACATGACGCAATGATAAAAATGCTACACAACGCTAACATTGACGAGAAAGATATAAGAGTTATCCAGAATCTCTATTGGAATCAAAAAGTACAAGTGAGACTGAACAAATTAACCAACACAGAAGAATTTGAAATTTTAAGAGGGGTGCGACAAGGGAACTAGAAGAGGCACTGGAAGGCTCTGAGTGTGGAATAAAGGTAAACGGGTTTCCGATAAACAACATTCGTTTTGCCGATGACACCGTGATAATAACAGACAACGAATATGATATGCAGTTGATGTTAAATAAAATAATAACTGTAGGAAAAATATATGGCTTGAAGATAAATGCTGGAAATACTAAATGCAATAAGAATAAGAAAAAATCGCACTTTTAAGAATACAACTGCAAGTAGATAGTGCTCCAATCGATCAAGTTAAAACGTTTAAATACTTGGGAATGATGATGAATGACCAATGGGATCCTCAACAAGAAATAAAATGCCGTACCGAACAAGCAAGGCAAGCTTTTATCAAATTTAAACCGCTACTATGTAACCGCAATATTTCCTTCAATCTCCGCTACAGGATGGTTAAATGCTATGTATGGTCCATATTGTTATACGGCATGGAAACATGGACGTTAAGAGTACCTTCCATTAATAAGTTGGAGGCCTTCGAAAGGTGGACGTTGCGAAGAATGTTCCGCATACCATGGACAGATAGGGTGAGAAACGAGGAAGTCTTAAGAAAGGCAAATACTGGGAGAGAATTTGATCAAGGTATGAAAAATTGGATACCTCGGCCATATTCTGTGCACGGCACTATAAGAAGAAGAAGTAAATATAAGATACGTGGCCGGTGTTTTCACGGAAATTGAAGTTTTTTAGATAAGGTAAGTTATTTTAACTAAAAAGTAAACCATTTTACAAGACAATTAAATTAAAAAAAAAAAGATTTTTGTTTACATTTTATTAGTTATTTTAATCGACTTGTATTAACGAATTTTTATGGAATAGTGAACCTCGTCTTACTGTTCCTTTACTGTCTCACTGTTCCGTTATAGTTGTATAAATCAGAGCATTTGCAAAATAATTTCTCTTAAAAAAAGAAAAGGCCAAGAAAAAATAAAACAAATCGGAAAATAGGAATATTTTCTGAAGATGATGAGACAGGCTATTGAATTAGTACGAGGTCACGAGGTGGCACCTCTATACGGCCAGCAGCACGAACAGTGGCGCACCCAGAATTAGCTTGACGGGGTGTTTAGTTTAATTTAAAGTACGAAAGATAGAATTGTCAAAAATTCAGGTATCTATTGTCCTGCCTCATATCGGCAGAAGAAGTATCGGACGACCGCGCAAAAGATAGAGTGACAATCATCCTTTGCGATATTTAGGGCAATACTATTTTAAGTGGAAATTGAAAAGTTAATAAACTTACTTTAACCTTTAATTGTGGCTTATTCCCACTTAAATAGTAATTATTTTTCATGCAGTTTTTAGATTGAACCTGCTTAGAATAAAATGTGATGACTAAAAACGAAATGATCGAGAGTAGTGAATCGATATGAAGAACCGCTATTTCGTGGCGCTAGTTTCGTGACGCTCGCCTCAGCATTTTACTATAGGAAAAAAGTAATACAACGATTACAACGCCAGTTCTTGACTTCTTATGTCTATATTCTTTGATAAAAGCTTCGTTGCTTCAAAAATATTGCGTTGATTTAACGCATACTATTTTTCAATGCTCAGCCTGTGGCTCAGCTATATAAATTACACGTTATAAAATAGAATTAGTTTAATCACAGAATAAAATGCTTATTGAAACATCATGCGTTCGGTTAAAAATTTATTCTATGATTGTTATCAATGACATAATACAAATCAAATTTGACAGCGTATTTGTTTATTTTTTTTTAGATTTGAGGTTAGATAAAATATAGTTTCAGTTTAGTGAATAAAAAAATAGATTGATAACGTTAAGGTCCATAACAAAAACAGACTAAATGAGTCAGTGATCTATCTACTATCTTAAATTTATTTGTTTTGCATTCCCATTGTTAGTAGCTGTTGATAGTTTATACACAAATAGTGATCTGTAACATAATGGTGCTAGTGTTAAATGGTGTTTTACAGACAAAGAGTCCTCCTAATACACAAACATTATACAATGCTCATCCAATATATAAGGAAACGGCCACTCAATTGTTATCAATTCCTAGCAAAATTGTTGGGCCTGCAGGTTTGTTGTATGTCTGGCAAAGGGAATTTGCTGCAGTCAGTCAACATGACAAGAATGTGACGATTCTAGGCTCCGATGATGCTACTACCTGCATACTTGTTATTCTTAGACACTCCGGATCTGGTGCAGTGGCTTTAGCACACTTTGATGGATTTGGTAGGTGAATTCTTAATACATAACTCATTATAAAAGGTAGGTATACACTTATATTTTGATAGTTTATTGTGAGTATACTTCGCAATAAACAGGTTTAGTGTACCTATGTTAATAATGAATTGATAAGCACAGTTTAATACATATTCCATAAATTTTGGTTATCTTCCAATATAAATTATTTGGTAATAATTTCATTATTATATGTAGGTGTATCCATTTGTAGAGAGTCCTCAATTGATGGTTTTGAAGTAAATTGCATTCATATGCATGTTATAAAGTTTAGAAATTAAGAATTTTAAAGAATCATACATAAATCATAAGATCAACACAATAATATTTTATAGGAACACATGAGGCTGCTTCCGCCATGGTTGAAAAAATTCAAGAACTGGCTGTAGGTTATTCAGGTGGTAGAATTGAATTACAGTTAGTTGGGGGATTTTCAGATAGACTGGGTTATTCAGAAGAACTTTTTTACAACATTATGGATGCCTTTCATAAACAACTGGTTGAAATTGATTTAACATTAGCTTGCGTTGGACAATTAAACACAACAATTGTTAATGGAATACCAGCCCCTATTATATATGGAGTTGGGATAAACATGAGAACAAGTAAGTTTTTCCTTTAAAATTTTAACCAAAATATTTATACACGATGAATGACTTTTGACATTTTTTTTTTCGATTGGGTAAACTACTACCAAATTAGTAAGCAGCAAAGGTAAAATGAAAAATAACAAATCTTTATTGTGACTTATCAAAACAAACCATTCACTAATACACGATGTTACAATTTATATTACTAAAGTGCACAGAAAAGAGATAATTCATTTTTTATAATGCGAAATATGTTTAGGTGCAATCAGAGATTGAATGAATGAATGTGTAATTCCGTACCTCGGAGGTAAAGGACACTATGTCCATTTTCTTACTTTTTAAGGAGAGGAGTTTTAACATTTTTTAAATTTGTAATCAGTAAATACTCAAATGTTTCTGATATTTAACCAAAATTAATATATTATATAAATTTTGGTTAAGTATCAGAAACATTTGAGTATTTACTCATTACAAATTTAAAAAATGTTAAAACTGCTCTCCTTAAAAAGTAAGAAAATGGACATAGTGTCCTTTACCTCCGAGGTACGGAATTATTTTTAACTAATAATAAATTTTTTACATAGAGCATCTGTTGATGCATGGCACTGCATATTATCATCCACAAGTATTTCATATGATGGTATGTAATTACTGAGGGCCAAACTCAAGCATGAAGGGAGATGTTCTTCAGTTAGCTGATTACGATATTTTCGTCACTACTTTCATTTGGGAAAATTGCAGATTCACACAAGTATGTTGATCCAAAGAATTACTTGTCTCAAAGACGAATATTTCTCAGACGATATGAAAGCTCTGGATTTAAGGTGTATATCCGAAATTATTTTCAGTTCGTTATTTTGGACAGAAATGATCTCCATATTGAACATAACGGATATTTCAGTGGCTATTTTTCCACGTCTCGACAAGAAAAGGGATTATACATGAATGTTACATATCTGTCAGTTTTTCAAAATCAGCAAAACATCTTTCAAACTCACTTTGAAGTGCTTGCAGCTCCTTCTCGTAATAAACATAATTCAAATGAGTGGCTACCCTTTTTCAATGATGTAAAGTTTTTTAAATCCTTTCTACTAATTTGCCTAGTCAATAATTTCAATTTGTTGACAAAAGAATGTATTGTGCTCATCATATTGATAATTGTTTTATTTTTACCTTGTAGTTCAAAATTAAGAAGGTTCAAATGATTTGTTAAATCTGTTAAGAAAGCCAGTTCACTAAGCCATTTTTCGTTTTGAAGTAGGTAAGTGTCGTCCCCTTGTTCTTCTAAAAAAGAAATTATTTCGGGAAGTAGCTCCTGGAACCTATCTAAAAATTTTCCACGGCCAAACCACCTCACATCTGTATACAGAAGTAAAATAGTGTGGTGTGTGAGTCGCTAGTTTCCAATTGCGCTTTAAAAAGACGTCGTTGCAAGCTTCGCGCTCTGATTGAATTCACAATTTTTGTTGTCATCTTCATGATGTCGTCCATATTTAAAATTTTGGAACTCAAAACTTGCTGGTGAATGATGAAATTAAATAAAAAAAAATGATAGAAAGTCATCGTTAGCTCGACATAATGCAACAAATCCATTGTAAACGCCAGTCATCGATGGTGCACCATCTGTTGTAATACACACAAGTTTGTAAATCGTTAGCTTGTAGTGTCTCTTGTAGTGCTTCTTTTCTGTGAGTTTTTTCTTTCAGAGGCAGCATATCACTTTTAACTCGGCTTTCCAAATCTTTGCCATGATTTAAATAGGTCTAGTAACCGTTGGATGTGATAACTGGACTTCTTTGATGGCAGACATAATATCTGTTTTATTTTTGCAGTCGTCAAATAATACATTTGCAGCCTCAATGAATGCTTCCTTCACTACCTCTCCATCTTCAAATGGTTTTTTATGTTGTGCCAATATATAAGAAATTTTGAATGACGCAATTGTTGCAGCTACTGATTTTTTAACAGGCCTAGGAACATTGATTGTTCTGTCTTCAAACTACTTTTCCAAGTCTTGCACTTTCCGTTTTCTAAACAAACTGTTTTGTGGAAAATAATTTTGATAGTTTTTATGCAAAGTTTTATAATGTCGTTCTAAATTTCCGCGTTTGGGCAGAGTAACGGAAGACCGATATTTTTCTTCCCTATTCTTCTTCCCACGCATTATTAAAATGATATGTTTTACTCTTTTTCGCGGCACTCATATCGAGTTTCAAATATTAATGTAAATAATATATTACTAAAATTTTTTACTAGTAATAACTAGTCCATTTCCATCATATTGATAGCACATTATGTATGCAAATCCCTACACTGTTGATACGGGTGACTCAATGAAAAATAGATATTTGTCAACAAGTTTACAGAAGTATATAGGAAAACAATTTTAAATTGAGTATGACCACCAGGTATAAAGGTTGAAGCAGAATAGAATACAATAGTTTTGAACTAAACTAATACTAAACTAATCTCTAAATAAAGTTGCCAGTGTCGGAGTGATGGAGTTAACAGCTACTAATGAATTTGCAAGAAATGTAACATGTTTATTTTATTGGTTATATATAAAATACTTTGTGGCTGTAACAGTGGACGATTTGTAAAAAAAAATGAATATTATTTTAATCAAATTCCATTTCAGATTCACTGCTTTCTTCAGAATCTAAGGAATCTTCAACTCCAATGTTAATTATTACCGGTTCCAGCATTGCACCAGTCATATTATCCAAATTCCACATTTTATTTTCTTCCTTGTGAGCATAACTAACAGCATTTTTCCTATTTTCTGCAGTTACTTTTGATAAGGAATGTTCTAATAATTGTTGCAAGTCTTCTAATTTAAAAGTTTTGTTGACTTCATCCGTCTGGCGTCTGACTTCACCCTTTACTTGAGACCATATATTTTCTATCGGATTCAGATCACAGTGGTATGGGGGTAAACATAAAATAATTACATCACGGTTTAATGCCATTTCATCAATTGTATATTTTTTATAAGCTGCTTTATGTTGCCTTAAAATAGGTAATAATTCCTTTTTTGTCGAATTCTCCTTGTACTCAATTGCGTGTTTTTATCCAACCATTCGATTATCCCTCCTTTTTTCCATGCCGTTGTTGGCAATTTTTCTGCTAGTCTTGAAGGGTAACTAGCATTATTCATGACTATGACAGAATTTTTTGGAATTAAATCCAACATTTGCTCAAAATATTCTTCAAAAACGTCAGCAGTCATTTCCTCGTGGTAATCATTGATTGATTTTGAGGCAAAACTTAATAATCCACCATTGACAAAACCGTATTCGTTTCCCATATGGGATAATATGAGTCTGCGTCCTTTTCCAACGGGAATATTGTTTATTCCAGTAGATACACCTTCGATGAATGCCTGACGGAAACTTTTCACATTTGTATCAACCCGTAGATATGGTACAGTATGACCTTCATTTAGCCAAGTCCCGTCCAAATAAAAAATTGTTTTCCCCTCTTCTCGGTACTTTTTAATAGTTCTTAGATAATCTCGTCTCCAACATACAATGTAATCTTTTTCAATTAAAATGGATTTTCTTCTATTCTTTTGCCAACGAAATCCCATCTCTCTCAATAGTCCCCATAATTTCTTGTTGCTTATGATTGGTAACTCTTCGTTTTCTCTAATTAATGTTTGGATTTTGTCCAATGTTGGAAATTCTTTGTTAAAAAAAATAAGTGGACGCTGCGTCTTATCATGTTTTTATGTATTTCTTCAATTTTCAATGGTTTACTCCCTCCACTCTTCTTGGGAGATGAAACAGTTCCTCCTTTTCTTTCTTTTGGGAATCTATAAATTGTTGCTTCTCCAACCCCTGTCATATTTGAACACATGTTAACGATTTCACGAACATTACTTAAAGGACGTTGATGTATAAGTGCATCGTGTACATTTAATATTATATTTTTCTCTCTTAGACTGAAGGCACCTTTAAAACTACACTTAACCGGGATAAAACCTGTTGTCGACGTCATTTTTAAATGCAAATAAAATATCGACACCAAAAACGTAGGTAGGTAAGACATGAACAATGTACATCTACAAACTAAATGGAAAATGCAAACAATTTCTAATTTATATTACTGGCATAAGCTGTAATGTGGCATAAAAACTACTTACTATCATTAGTGAAGCCTTATCAGTAATTCCAGGTAATCGTTCAAAGAAGGTATTCTTTCTGTGTCAGGCGATAACTTGTATAGAAAACAATAATCACCTTTAAATTACTGTTTACATTAATTTATTTCGTGAAACATTGAATTCTCTCGTTAATCACCCGTGTATAATTAACAATAATCGTGTGGCATATATACCGACGTTTTTTACGCACAAAAAAGGTATAGTGAGATTAGTGGACACCTATTTTACAGAAGATTTTTTAAAATATAATGAATTGTTGACGGCATCTTAAAATATTAATTTTTTTGTTTATTTCAATACAAGTATAGGGTGACGCCTATGGTTTTTTGACCTGTTGAGGATTTGCATACATAATGTGCTATCAATATGATGGAAAAGGACTATAATGAATTATTAATGCTTGACTAACAGCAATACAATGCCGATACAGCACACTCCCAGTTTAAAATAATTTATCTGTGAATGCTGATATGCCGAATCGGCATAATAGCAACTTTCTGGTGAAGAGATAGCATCATAATTATTTCGATCATGCACGTGTGGTGGGTCAAGACAGTTCCCGTATTTTCTCCGTGAATCGCGATCGACTTATAAAACTATGGCGATCGACCCTTTGAGCACCGCTGAACGAAGGTATACACTGGGATTTTTCCAATTTTACTTTGTACTTCATAATTGTTACTTTGAGGTAAAGATTGTCATTTGGGTGTTACTTAACGTTTAGGCAGTTGGAGGAGGTCTTTTAAAAAGTTACGGTACGTTATAGTGGGGTATGCCCCCCTTCCCCCACCTTCTAGTGGGGTAGAACTCTTTTATAACGGGTTCAAAGAAGTTAAAAAATTGTGTTATATAGCACTTGAACGCCCCGTTAGTTATAAGTTTATGGTTTTAAATTTAAATATTTATTAATTTAGTTACTTTATAAAAATACATACCTTAAGTACTGTATTGTATAGCACATTTTTTCTAATAAAGTTTATTCTATTCTATTCTATTTTTTAAAACTAATCTTATTATGTTGATTTCAGATGAAATTTTTCCAGCGTCATTTCCACAAAAAGGCCCCGAAGAGTATCTCCGCACTGCACGTCATTTGTTTGGTTCTGAAAATTGCGAAATTATTAACATTTATGACTGTAGCTTAGGGCAGCTAAAAATCGGACCATTTAATTACAAGCCACTCAGAGGAGCAAATCTTTGGTTAGAACAAAACGACGACTTTATTTTACAACAGCTCTCTACTTCGCCCGAGGTTGAACTACCACATTTTGTTTCAAACGTTAGGGGTACCGTGAAATATATACAAGAGAATCCTTTTCCTGCGGTAACTGTTTTTAGAAATAATAGGCCACTGTATTATAGAAGAGACGAAGATTCAGGACTTTGGGTTCCGGATTATTAAACAAATTACAATTTTATTATAAAAATGTTTTCAGATGTTGATTGCTTAAAGACAAGTTCAGCGTATTACATATATTTTATAATAAATCTATTAATACTCAATGTAATTAAATTTAATTTCAATTATGCGAATTATAATTTATGTTTAATCACACTTTTTACTTTTATCGTGGAAATTGAATTAATTTGCTCGTTTTGTTGTTAAACTTATACCGACCTTTGGTAAATAGATTTAGTCTAAAGCAAAATGTTAAAATCTGAAGATTACTACTACATGAATCGGTCATTTCATAAACAACATGTGTAAATTTTTAGCAAAATTGACATTTCTTCATAAATCCGTTTTTTATATGACAACGCATCATTCTAAGCAGAAACGACATCGGTCCTGACTTCCTTAATAAACTCATCGAGCAAAAACACAAAAGAGGGAATGTAAAGGTAGTGGGGACAAAAATATTGTTAGACAGGAACTGCCATCTTGAGAGGCCACATTAAACAAGGAAAGAGACTCTTTCTTTAGTTGGGTTCTGTTATTGTTTGTTCCAACTGTCACATAAAATCTTATTTAAATTGAAGTTTTTTAACAATTGTGTCACATTTTAGACTGTTATCGTTAATATTTAATTAAAACTTTCTCGTCTAAGAGACATTCTGAAAACTATTTTATAGCTACTGTTAATAAGTGTCGAATACTTTAAATTTGGCGCATTCGCATTTCCGGATATGTCGCCATCAGAGGCCACTTTTTTGGTCTCTTTTTTCATAACAATTAGATTCCCTCTTTTGTCTTTTTGCTCGATGAATAAACTACAGCTTAATACAAAAACATATTCCATTTTAAATCCACACGAGTCATTGACTCATGTTTCTGCACGAAATTTTCATTGTAAACAAAACGTTCACGATGGCAATAAATGACACAAATACCCAGTAAGCACAAGTACGTACATAAGACATACTAAGTACGTACTTATGGGACATAAAGTACGTACAATGTACGAAGTACGTACTTAATACGTACATAAAACGTACATTTTCCAAATTATGGTACGTACCTAGTACATATTGAAGGTATGTACTTAGTACATAATATATATATATATATATATATAATATATATATATATATATATATATATATATATATATATATGTATATGTATATGTATATATATTATGTACATACTATACACACTTATGATGATTTATGTAAATAAAAGTAAATATAGGTGAATATATTTTTATTTTTTTTTTAAATAAATTCAATTTTTATTCTTTTAAAAATATCAAAGAAAGTTTTTAAGCGATCCCCTACTCTCTTCAACCATCGTCCAATTTCTTGCTCCGCCACTTTCATATCACTACATTTTTGACACAAAAAACACTCGACTAAATAAAATAACAGGAAACCACAAGCACCAAACACCAAAAATAAGTAAAAAAAAATCTAAATGAAACTGTCTTGCAATGAATTATCACATCACAACTGTACTCGAGGTGTAGAATTCCTAACTAAATAAATTAGGTTAATTTAACATAACCTAACATAATAAATATGCTTTAACTCTTCTTTCTCATGGTACATACTTAAGACGTAATAAGTACGTACTCTCCTGTACGTACTTCTGTACGTACTGGTATGTACATACTTAAGACGTAATAAGTATGTACTCTTCTGTACGTACTGGTATGTACCCCAATGTACGTACTTAAAACGTACATTTTACATCATGTACATACAGTACCAAAATTGTACGTACTTAAAACGTACTGTGCTGTTTGGGTAAAACACTGAAAACTTTGTTTTCAAACTTCCACAAAATTATTGCACCCTAGTGCATATTTGAACAATTCAATGCACCTTGCACTGTTTATTATTATAAACTAAGGCATAAGCAACGTATTTGCCTTGAACCGAGGTTAAAATTATCACAATGATGCCAAAAAAAAAGATCTTGATTCTTGTTATGTGTGATCATATGATCACGCTAGGCGCTAATGGGTTAATTATGATAAAACGCAATACAATGGCCATTGGAAACACCTCAGAAGATCTGAAGGAGAGTAAAAACTCAATAAAACAAACAAATGTATATAAATACTGGGGGGTAACTTTATCAGGATTATACAGGATCGGATATAGTAAATAAAATAAAGAAAGCAAAGATAATAACACTACAATTATACTGGATGATATGGAGCGATGATATTACAAACAAAATTAAACACCAAATCTTTAAAACAATAGTGGAAAGCTGCTCACTTTTTGGCTCTAAGGCGCAGACGTGACAAATAAAAGAGTAGAAAATAATAAATCTAATGGAAATGATGTTATGAAGACGAAGCTGCAGATTAAACCCAGGGCATTTATGCTGTTTAGCTTAATAGAATTTTGACAGGAAAACCTAAAAAAGATACTGAGGCCAGTATGGAATGTACGAACACCTTTTGCTACAGGTAAATTCACAAAGTCGTATCAGAGAAATGAGATAGTATGTCAATATGATGAATACAATATCTGCTATTCAGGAAATGGCACACAACAGTCTCATCAGAAACATGGAGTGAGTATCCTTATAAAGACTTATCCTTATCCTTATAAAGACGTCCTTAACGAAGTACATTAAAAACTTGTATTGGAGAAAATAATAATGTTAAAGCTAGGATACCCGATCAATATGGATGTAATCCAAGTATATGCCACTATTGAAGATATACCAGTCACAAATACTAAACAGTTTTATAAAAAATTAGGAGATCTTCTTCTATCGTCTATTTTTGGATATACATAGTCTTCTCATAACTTCTTTGTTCAACATAACAATTTGTTCTGAATATTTTTTTAATGTTATCTACCCATCTCATCTGCGTTCTTCCCCTTGGTCGTCTACCTTTGTAGTATCTCCAATGTTATAACGGGACGTTCCAACGTTGGTCTTTTTGTATAACAGTGGGACCTGCGAATCTTTATTTGAGTTTGGCAATATCCCCGACTTTGGATTTTGATCTTACCCAGTCTTTGTAGCTAGTTTATTCATATTTGCTATAACTGAGTTTCTAAATCCTGCCCATACCAGTCTTTCTCTTCTAGTGATTTCCATGCTTCGGTTGTCTGTCAAGTTTCAGAATATGGCTTAGGTAGATATATTCTTGAATTTGTTCAGTCTCATTGCCATTTAAAGTTAGACGTCTGGGGTCATCTGTGTTTGTCATGGTTTTTGTTTTTGTCATATTCATTTTCAGTCAGACTTATTGGGAGCTGCCTACGAGTTACACCCTCGTAATTTGTAGTTCCTCGAATGTGCTGGCTATACCGCTATAGTCACGATGTCGTCAGCGAATCTGAGGTGGTTTAACTCGTTGCAATTAACGTTGACGTCATATGTTGACTAATTTATATTTTTGAACACTATAGACTATGAAGATTTATAAGGCTAGATTAAAACAACTTATATGGATATTAGGTTACCTTATCTAACTCCACTTTTAATGTGGATGGAATTTATATTTCATTTAGTTATACTATCATAGTTACGTTTTCATATATACTATATATTAGTTGTCTATAGCTCGAATCTTCTTCTTTTTATATAGACATGACTCTGTCTGTTTTTCAATGTGCCTCCAGTAAGTTGTCATTCCATCGTTTTCGTGGTCTTCCTACTGATCGTCTTCCCATTGGGGAACCGTCTTTACTACTCTATTTGTTGTCATTCGGCTTATATAATCGTTCAATTCTACTCTTCTATTTCTTACCCAGTTCTTAATGTTCTCCACCTTGCATCTACATCGTATATCGGTACTGCTAGCTCTGCCCCATAGTGTCTTACCATAAATTTTTCATCTCTGCTGTTTCTAACGTCCTTTTTGTCTTCTCTGTGTCAAGTCTTGTTTCTACTGTTTTGTCTCTGTGTGCTCGATTCACTTGATTTTCCACTTCAATTTCGAGCTTTCCGTAGCTAGATAATGTGATGCCTAGATATTTAAACTCCATCACTTGTTATATTATCTGGCCTTCCAGCTTAAATTTCCATCTTAGTAAATTTGCTGTTGTAACCATGCTTTTTGTGTTTTTTGGAGAAATTAACATGTTTGATTTTCTGGCGGTTATTTTAAATTGGTGCAGGATACGTTGTAAATCATCTTCACTTTGAGAGAGCAGTATTGCGTCGTCTGCATAGCCGATTATTTTAAGTTGTTTTTCTTCCATTTGGTATCAATTTTTAGTTCTTACTTTTTTTATTATTTCATCCATAATCAGGTTGAACAATAAAGGACTCAATGAATTTCCCTGTCTTATTCCATCGCCAGCTTCCATAGGGTCGGTTAGTTCTTCATCTACTTTTATTTTTAGGGTGTTGTTTTAATAGATATTTTCCATCGTTTTGATTATTCCTGGAGGTATCTCTCTTGTGTACAGTAAGTGGATAACGTCTTTTAATTTGACCAGGTCAATTGCCTTCGTAAGGTCAACGAAACATAGATATGCCGGTTTGTTGTATTCGAATGATTTTTCTTGCACTTCCCTCATTATAAACATAGCGTCGGTGCATGATCTACCCGACCTAAAACCTTGTTGTTCTTCTGCTAGTATTAAAATTTCATTCAGTTTATTTCTTATCTATTTGGTTGTTTATTTTAGTGTCGTGTTCAATAAATGAATGCTTCTGTAATTTTCCTGGTTCCATTTTCTCCCTTTTTGAAGAGAGGTATTAGGATGCTTGATCCCAACTCTTGAGGAATTCTGTTTTGTTCTATTATTATTTGGATTAGTTTTAATAGTTGTTTGGTCAGATCTGGTACTCCGTTCTTTATGAGTTCGTTCGGTATTTTGTCCTCTCCTGGTGATTTCTATTTTTAATTTCCTCAATGCTTTTTTTACCCCTTTCTCCTCAATATTTATTTCTTTGTTTGTCGTCCCTCTAGTGTTGGTGGTTCATTATCGCCACCTTCATCAAATAGGGATCAAAATTATCTACCAATGTTTCCTTCTGAATGTGTTTCGTTTTTATTAGTTCGTGCATCTCTTTTCTTTGTCCTCTGATCATTCTCAATATTTCTTTTTGTAAGAAATCTATTTTGAGAAACTCTGCCAGTGTTTCTTTTTTATTTGTATAACTAAAGTATTCGTTTCATTC